GGAGTAAACCATCAGATCATCAGATGTGGAAGGAAATCGAAGTTTCTCGGGTACAAAGAAGCAGAGCAATCGATTAAAAGGGTTTGTGCACGTGAGATGGAGGCAAAAGTCAAGAAGATTAATGAAGAAGGGAAAAGACGCTGCAGACAGACAAAATTAGGTTATTTTTATCTTTGCTACGTTCTTGTGTTCACAATAACGAGCAAAGAGGGGCAGCTGTAATACCCTAATTTTGTCCAGACATTTTAATTCCATTTAAAGATGATTGGGAAATAATGTGAAGGTGTTGGTGTTCGATGAAGAATTAATTCAAATAAGGAAGCGTGGAATTTTGCGTTTGAAAGCTTTAGGTGCTCGATTGGAAGTGGAATCGTATATGAAAATCGAGACACAAATTGAATTCCAATTTCCAAATTTAAGTGTCTAATGTCCATTTACAAGCCCAACTAAAGTACAAATAGTTACAATAATAATTACAGTACCCGAGCCCATAAAGAAGAGCAGGCCCAAGTTTGACCCAACCCATTTAGTGGCTGCTCACGTAAAGTCCCTCGGGACTGTTGCTCCACTAAACGTTGCCCATACTTTACTGCCACAAATGCTCGTGCATGTCCACGTGAGGACATCACCATGCAGCATTGCACCCAACAACTCAATCCCCGAGCCAGCAGCAGATCCTCCCAGAGCCCCGAGACAGTACGCATCGACCCATGTCTGTCAACCACTGCTGCCATCGAGACAACCACTATTGCCGCCCCTGCTCACCATTACTCGAGCCCATACCTTGCAAAATATTTGTTTTTGTTCTCCGAGGGTGCCAGGGGAGGAGGATCGAGAAGGCAAGAACAAATAAAACCAACTATCAATAGTTAAAAGGGGGTGATAAAAAAATCAGTCATCAAAACAGAAAAAAATCAGCAAACAGAGAGCACAATGAACACCTACAATAGGGGATAGGGTTCATGAACAAAAGGCAACCACATAAATAAGAACAAGGGGAACTCTATCAAAAATTGGATGTAATCAGGGTATTTCTAAAACCCGGGAAAATAGGTTGTGACAGGAAACTGACCATTGTATGCAAAAAACCAAGAAGTAATAGAAGTACAATTTGGTTCGAGGTATCCTCACTCAGTTTTTTTCCTCTTGTTTTCCAGTTTTCTTTATGTTTACTTGTATTATTTTAAAATCAAAATAAATAGGAATAAAAAGAGATTTATCTTGGTTACCTTAGTCGGTTGAGTCGTGTGGCGGTCAGGGTAAGGAGTTCGAGCGTAGGCGAGCAATTTTTTCTCTACGAGCATGGGCACTGTTCGAAGTCAGGGAAAATTTTGAGAAGAAATAAAGAGGAAAATACAAAAATAGAGGAAGGAGATTTTACCTAGTTTGTTCAAGTCTTCGCCGGAGTGAAGGGTAGCCGTTGATGTTTAGTAGCCAGCCGGTGGCCATAGTTTAGGGTTGTTTAAGATATTATTCGAACCACGATAGGGTCAAGGTGAGCGTGAGGTAGCTTTGGGCTTTGGTGGTATTCGTCGTTTGTAGGTCGGAGTAGAGGCGGCGTCGATATACGACGGTCGTGGCTCCTTTGGGTTTCGATTTTTAGTTGAGCTAGGTAGTTTGGAGGGGGGTTTCACGTTGTCAATGTTTGGGTCGTCCCTGTGTTTCCTTCTGTCATCGATCGGGGCGTGAGATGGCCACCAGATCGGTGGTCTGTGTGGTTTGAAGAGAGATCAGCGCTGCGTGGGTCTGGTGAGAGAGGAGAGTTACGGCTGGGGGTGTTGAGCAGAAATGAGGCTAGGGTTCTGTTTTTCACCCAAAATATTATATATATTAGATTATTAAAACGTCGTCATTTAGGGGGGTTTAGGGCACCATTTCCCGCGTGGTTTATTCCTCGTATGAGCCATTCCAGTTTTACTTTTATTTCTTTTAGTCCTAGAATATAGTCTAGTATTTTTAATTTGTTCTTTATATTTTACGAGTATTCAATTTTAGTCCTGATTGGTAATGTATTTAGCGTCTGTTCTTTATACATTTGATTTGTGGTTTCTGCATATTTCGTTTTAGTCCCTAGGTCGAAGTTTGCATGTTTCTAATTCTGTCTATTTATTTTATGTTAATTTAATTTCCATCCTAAATGTTGATTTGTTTCATTTCTATTGTTTAGATTTTAGACTTTAAGCTTTTTGCATGTTACATTTTAGTCATGTGGGTATGTTATTTTAAGTTTCTGTGATGTTGCATATTTGGCATAGCATTTTTCCGATTTTCATTTTAGTTTTATAGGTGGTCTCGGTTTTACTTTGATCTTAGAATATGTAATGCATTGATAGGGTTTTTTTTGTGATCTTTGTTTAATAGTGATTTTAGCTTTAGATTTATTTACTCATTTATTTTAATCGCATGTTTAATCAATTTTTACATGACATCCTTTTTGCATGATTTGCATGATATCCTCATAAGCATGATCCGTCACCATTACATAATCGGATTAATGGGAATACTCTTTTAATTTAAAACTATCAGAATGTCTTCTCTTAACTTACTAGAGGGTTGTTTTGACTATTTTAAATTAAAAGTGTATCTCAACAATGTCACCAAAAGAATTGATTAATCACTTTAAAATTTGGGAATGAAAGAAAAAGAAATATTCGGCTATTTAAATTATTTGAGAAAAGATCGTTAGAACTCACCTAAAGATCTGGTCTCGATATTTTTAAATAATCGAATATCCTTTATCTTTCTAATGACTTGGTAATTTTAAATTAACATATTTTGTTGCTTTTCAATGTTACAAATTTGCACTTTTATTGTTTAAAGGGATCATTAATCAAATTAAACTCAAACTTGTGAAATTCGTTGCAAAGACATTAATTAATCGACTAGGTACCGATTTAGGGTGTTGTGGGGGTGCTAATCCTTCCCCACACGTAACCGACTCCCGAACTTGGATTTTGGTAACGTAGACCGTAAATTTTTTGTTTTAATTAAAATTAATTTTTATTTAAAATGACAACATTTTTGGGTGCCCAATCACACCCTAATCAAATATTGGTGGTGACTCCTCGAACCATATGTTTTTATCGTAAAGGAATTTCCAAATTTTCGAAACGAGAGGTTTTCTAAAAATCGCATTGTTTTTAATTAAAAATTCAATTGAAAAGAGAATAATTAAAAATGACGCGGTTTTCAAAATCTCGCTCCCCGCACGTAAAAATCGTTTCGACACCTTGGAAGTGGAAGAAGAGTTGAACCTGATACTTCTTAGATGATAAGCATCATCCTTAACCACTTTTCTGAGACTAATTTTTAATATTATGCTTACATCAACTAATATTTATCTTATAATATAATGAAGGCTAGAACAATGAAAATAGAAGCAACACTAAAACGACTTGATTCAAATAAATTAATATTTTAAAATATATTGTTTATATTCGACTCGCCCCAACTTGATTCAAATAAATTAATATTTTAAAATAGTTAAAATAATATACTTATAATTATTTATTATATTTTAAATGGTTAAAATAATATTTTTTCCTCAAACTCGATCCATTTTGAATATATAAAAAAGGTAAACTAGTAATTTATATCGGTTGGGGTTGAGTTAGTGATTTCTTATCTTAAATCCGGTCTCACCCCAATTTGAATATATTAATAGTTGAAAATAGTTAAAATAATACATTTATAATTATTTATTATAATTTAAATAGTAAAAATGATATATTTTGCCTTAAACTTGGACCGATTCAAATATAGATATAGAAGAATAAACTAATAATTTATACCGGATTGGATCGAATTGTTTTCGTGTTGCTTCTATTTTCATTGTTATGGCCTTCATTATATTATAAGATAAATATTAATTGATGTAACCATTATATCAAAAATTAATCTTGGAGCAGTAGTTAAGGTTGTTGCATATCAGCCAAGCAGTCTCAGGTTTGATTCTTCATTCCCCTCCAAGGGCAATGTTGTTTTAATTTATTTTCTTACTATCATATGGAGCCACGTGTCACCATCTTAATGGTGAAAAAATATTTAAATTAAATATAAATTAAATTAATAAAAGCCCTCTAATGATATCATGACATATTTCATTATATAATTGGAGGATTAAATATATTGAATTAATTTAAAATTATGACCAATTTGATAGATTGCGTAAGTGATAAGTACTAAATGTAAATTATACCAATTTTATTAACTATCATATCAGCACTTCCGTTAACTGTTAACAGCTAGTGGCTTGATTGAATGCATTTAAATAGTTAGGTGGTCTGATTGACAAAATTAAAAGATCGATGATAAAAATAAAAAGACTAAATAATTGAGTGGTCAATTGTATAGTTTACCCTAAAAATAAAATATGATTAACATAATATTAAAAATTCAACCAAACAATTCGAAAAGAGAATTAATGAGCTTCTAAAAGTACATATAAAGATGATTATCACAATTCAACTACAATTTATCTTTAATGATTAAAAGTAATTATCAAGCAAAAAAAATTCAATGAGGGTCTAAAAGTAATACATTTTAAAGTAAAACTAATAAAAGGGGAACACACTTGAAAAATCACCTTATTCTTAAAAAGTACTAGTGGTAAACATTAAACAAAGTAAAATATAGTATCAAATCTGAAATTATTGGTTAAAAAAGATTGGTGGAGAAATCTAACGTCAGCCGCCAAAATAGAATATTTTTGAGAAAGTTTACAACTTGGTTCTCAAGCTTTTCAATTTGGTGGGGTTTTAGCTTCCCACAGTCACTTTGGATTAATTACATTGACCAAAACATAGACGAAGACTTTGTCCCCAACAATAATTCAGATCTCGAGGGACAGTACCAACTTGCTCACTTACATAAGTCCCATTGAAGTCTGTGATGGACTTATTCAAATTTGATAATTTACAAGTTATTTAGGAGTCTTTATACTGATCAAAGATGTTAACAACAGTGTTGTTTGATGATGAGAAACATTTGTGAATCAAAACATAAAGAAGGGAAAAGAAAAATGATTTCGAAATGTTTGTTCTTGGTAGTTTTATTTTCATGGAGTCAATCCATTACTGCCCAGAATGCCACCACCGATCCTAAAGAAGGTACTCTTCTTGCTCTTTCTGCTTTAAAGAAATTACTATTAGCAGTGAGATGAATTTTGTGTTTAATGAATGAGGGAACAGTGAGGGCACTGAACTCGATATTACAACAATGGGATGCACAAGCAGCGGATTCATGGAACATCAGTGGAGAGCCCTGCAGTGGGACTTCTCTCAGCCAAGATGACACTGTTTTCGGTGATGGTTCGAACAATCCCTCGATTCGATGCGATTGTTCCTTCAACAATAAAACTCTTTGCCACATTACTCGACTGTAAGCTTCTTCTTGTCCTTTCTCTTCTGCAATTATATTGTATAGCAGTTAAAATAAGGCTAGTTGGATCCAAAGGCTAGTCCCACTCATGTTAACTGGTAATAAGTTGAAATGGGTCTTCATTGATATTTGTAGAAACATTTTACATGTTTTGAATACTTCCATTAGGAGGGTTTATGCTCTAGATAAACGGGGAGAGATGCCAAAGGAACTTTTGGATCTGCCTTTTCTGACATTCTTGTAAGTTTTTCTCCTCGCCTTTGATCTTCGTAAGCCAAATTCGATTTCGAAATATTTTCCAAATGAATGCAGATTTTATAGTGTTTTACAGTAACTAGTGATAATCTTTTATAATGTTTGGTGGTGCAGGAAGATTGACCAAAACTTCTTCTCTGGACATTTGCCAGCATTCATTGGAAACATGAGTAGATTAGAGTTTCTGTGAGTGATCATATAATCTGATAATATGTATAGTTCAATTGCCTAAAACAATTTCTAAATCCTCACCGTACAAGGATGAACCACTATCATCTTACTTTTTATAGGTCAATTGCTTACAACAATTTTTCCGGACCTATCCCAAAGGAGCTTGGAAATCTCAAGGAGCTCTATCTGCTGTAAGAATTGAAGAAACTATATATGTATATATATATTCAAGTTTCTCAAGAACATTCTGTGGATAAATATTGTGCAGGTCTTTTGGTGTTAACCATTTCTCTGGAACACTGCCTCCAGAACTTGGTAATTTAGTCAACCTTGAACAACTGTAAGTTTTCTAACTGCTTTTAGCTTATATGCAGGGAAAGTAGATGACTGTTTTTACAGGTTACCCTATGAAATTATAACAAGGATTGGTTGAATTTGGCAGATACATTAACAGTTGTGGATTGGGTGGTCATATTCCCTCAACATTTGCTAAACTTCAAAACCTGCAAGTTGTGTAAGACACTTCCCTTAATGCTTACAGCCTAATGCAAATTGCCTTAATTTACCTAGTGCTTACCATAACAACAAGACCTGTTGTTTGACTTGTGTGACTCGAGTTCCCTTTGATTTGGCCTGAATGTCATTATTATTTTCCCAAAAAACATATTTGATAAGTTGTACAGTGTTACCGATGTGAGATTAATGTCTCTCTCCTCTCCATAACGTAACATTCTTCCCATTCAATCTCGTGATGCCCTCGGGCCATCATCACAGTTGTCCACCCTACCTACCCACTCACTGCTCATTTCCATGTCCGGGTTGGGCAGATTATTGTTGTTAACTTTATACGGTTAAATTGAATTGAATCAGATCTGGACTAAATTTCAGACTTGTTGAATTTCAGGGGGGCATCTGACAGTCCATTCACAGGCAAGATACCAGACTTTGTTGGCAATAACTGGACAAAGCTCACATCATTGTAATTCATCAAACACATCTTGGTTATAATCTTCATATAAGCCCTCTCTGAATCAGACATCAAGAAGGATAATTTTGCATAGATTTTTCATCAGTTGGACTAATCTGTCAAATGCTTATACAGGAGATTTGAAGGGAACTCTTTTGAAGGTCCAATACCATCCAGTTTTGCGAATTTAACCAAATTAACTTCTTTGTAAGTAGAGATATCTTGCTTTTAATGATAGTATACCATCCAGTTCATGTATGTATGTATGTAACACGTTCTTATGCTCATATGTAATGTAGGCGAATCAGTGATATATACAATGGAAGTTCTTCTCTGGATTTCGTAAGAAATCTAAAAAACTTGACTGATTTGTAAGTTAAACATACTCCTTACCTGAATTCATCTGTTATTTTTTTTTTTTGGGGGGGGGGGGGGAAGATGCATGTTTTTATCCAGATTTATGCATCGAAATACTTATATTTTCCCTTTCGTTTGGTTTCGTATAGGGTTCTAAGAAATGTGTTGCTCAGCGGCAGTTTGCCATCTTATATCACCGAATTACAATCTCTGCAAAAGCTGTAAGTTTGATCTAAAAAGTAACTGCTTCAGTAATTTATGATATTCGCTTACTCCAAGCTTCTAACTTCTTTCTGTTCCAGGGATTTGAGTTTCAACAACTTAACAGGTCAAATTCCAAGCGTTTTGTTCAATATGGATTCTCTCATATATTTGTAAGAAATCAGAATCTCAGGGTCTGTTCTTATGGTTTTCACTTGACATGATTCCCCTCATTCATGCCATTGAAATTGCCAGGTTTCTCGGAAATAATAGTCTCTCTGGTTTCATTCCCAGCCGAAAGAGTGACTCTCTTCGGACTATGTAAGTCATCATAAGTTGGTCCCCTAACATAAAATCACATGTCTCTCCCCGGAAGCTTCCATTCATTGAATCATCAAATTGTAAAAGCAGTTAAATCCTCCTGATTCTGGTAATATGGTCATACTTCATACTTACTGTCTGCTATATTTGGTTATGCAGAGATTTATCATACAATTTTCTATCAGGAAACTTGCCTTCTTGGGTAAACTCAGGCTTGCAATTGTAGGTATCTTGAACCAGGATACTTCCTTTATTGTCTTTGCTTTCTAATTTTATCGCTGGTTTGTAGCTTTTGGCTCTCTTTGGTGCTCGAAATTTTTTGACTCGGCTCGATCTAATACTCACATCTACTAATAAGAGCTGGTTTCGTGGAATTTTATGTAGGAACCTTGTGGCCAACAACTTCACACTTACCAGCTCAAACATACGGTGATTTATCGTTCTGGCAGCATCCGATTTTCCCCACTTCTGAACTTTTATGAAAGAATTATTGTTACTGATATGCTTGTTATTACATCTGCTACGCAATGCATTCTTTTAAGATCCTAATCCGAAATTTGTTTTGAAATTCCTTAGGATTTTACCAGGGTTAGACTGCCTTCAAAGAAGCTTCCCGTGCAATAGAAATGCTCCAAGATGTACTAGCTAAAACTTTGGAAACCAGTGTCCTGCTTTTGAGATCTTAATTATAAGATTTTAGTCGAGACCAATACATAATGCTTTGCTAACATATTTCGATATCGGCATTTGCAGATTCAAGCTTCTCAATCAAATGTGGTGGACCAGAAATGATATCTGATGGGGTATTATTCGAGACTGATAATAGCTTTCTCGGTGCCGCAATATTTAATGTAACCAGTAAGAGGAAATGGGCAATTAGCAATGTAGGATTGTTTGCAGAAAGACAAAATCAACGGTATGTGGAAACCAACTCAGGACCGGTGAGAAGTACCAACACTCCAGATCTGTATCGGAGTTCGAGGCTATCCCCTGGATCTCTCAGATACTATGGCCTAGGCCTTGAGAATGGACCCTATACTGTAAGATTATTCTTTGCAGAGATAGGTTTCCCCGACCAGACCTCGCAGTCCTGGAGGAGTTTAGCAAGGCGAGTTTTCGATGTATATATTCAGGGAAACCGGATATTAAGGGATTTTGATATAACAAAGGAGGCTGGTGGTGCTCAGAGAGCAATAACTAGGAATTTCACTGCTAATGTAACTGGGAACCATCTTGAGGTTCACCTGTTTTGGGCCGGTAAGGGTGAAGATACTAATTTTTTTACTCATATTATTATTATTATTATTATTATTATTATTATTATTATTATTATTAATATATTATTTAAAATTACAAGCCCAAATGGAAGCCCAATTACAAACTTGATGGCCCAAACCAACGAGCCCATAACAAACCCTAACAGATTAGGGTTTTCTAATTCCTCAGCCGCCATCTTCAATTCCAGCCGTTGGATCTGGTTTGATCCAACGGTCCACAGTTTGCCAGAGGAAACCCTAGGGTATCAATACCCTAGGGACACGTCCCACCGCCGCCGCTGCTGCTTCCAGAAGACTTCACCGCCACACCAACGTTCCAGCCTCCACCACGTCTACCAAAGAGTCCAGAAGGCCGGCCGTAGCCGCACACGTCTCCCCCAAACGGTGAGTCACCACTGGGAGTCCGGTGACTCACCAAAGGGCATTCTTCGGACCGGTCTGAGACGAACACCGGTGATGGCTATAAAGCCATCACCCCATCTGCAAGAAAAAAAAAGACAGGGAGAGAGAAAAAAGAAACAGAAAAGAAAGAAAAGAAAAAGAAAGAAGGGAAACTTACTGTCATCGGAGAACCCCAACCGCCACCGGATCTCGCCAGAACCTTCGAAACGCCGAAGGTATTTTTGTAGATTCACTCCGATTCAGAGCTTTTTAAGGGAAGAGAACACCGGGACCGTCCTTAGGACGGTCCGATCTATCCAATAGCATAAAAATAAAATTTTCCGGCCACCGGATGTGGTGGCCGGCGGTGACGGTCACGGCGGCAGACGGTGGCCGTCCGGTGACCGGTTTCCCTCCGGTGAGGGAAGCTAGAGAGAGGGGAGAGCTTTGTTCATTCTCTCTCAGATAGAGAGAGAATGAAAATTGAAAAATGAAAGAGATGGCCCGAAGGGCCGGCTGTCTTGGGCATTAAATAGCCCTTCCCAAACGACGTCGTTTTGGGGAGGGCTATTCGTGTAATTAAAGAATAGTTAAATCATTTCCGCAGCCATCTAAACTTGTAAACTTTACATTTTAGTCACTAAATTGAGTTTATAATACTTTTAATTCAGATCTTTAATTTTAATTTCATTTATTTTAGTCCTTTATATTAAAATAATATATTTAGGATAAATAACAGATTTAATCCCTTAATTTTAATAAATAATATTTTAATCCCTAGTTTATATTTTTATTTTATTTTATTATAATATCCGAATTTTAGATAATTTTATTTCAGTCACTAAATTATTAAATAAGAAAATAGCATGTTTAATCTCTGTAATTCTGATTAATTATGAATTAGGTTTTTCAATTTTAATTTCACTATATTTTAGTCATTTATTTTAAGTTTTTTTTTTTTTGCTTTTAAATATATAGTTAGAATTGTATTTTTACTTGTTTATATATTTAAATGTTGTTATATAATAAATAAATATTTATTTTAAATAAATTATTTTAATATTTATTTTTAATATCGAAGAAAAGGACAGTCTTAATACAACTGGATGTCCTATTCTGATATTTTAAAATTAAAAATTAAACAATATTATTTAAATTAATATTTATCAATATCAAAGAAAAGAGCTGTCTTAAGGCACCTAGAAGTTCTTTTCTGATATTTTTAAATAAATAAATATTTTTATATAATTTTGAAATAATAAGATTATAAATTAAATATATTTTTGAATTTTTAAATTTTAATAATAAGAGACAATTTATAATTAAAAAGTACCAATTTTGGGCGTTGTAGGGGTGCTAATCCTTCCCTAAACGTAATCGACCACGAATCCTTTTTATTTTTTTAAAAAAAAAGAACTAATTTTTGGTTATAAACGCAGATCAGTTCATTTTTTAATTGATGTTTTCTTAAAACTCTTTTAAAAAAATAATTTTTAGGTATTCGACCTACCTGACCCAAAAGGCCGATGGCGACTCCCAAATTATTTTTCAAAACCATTTATTCACATTACTTTTTCAACCAAGTAAAAAAAATTCGTGCCCGGGCGAAAACCGGTTACGACAGCTTGGCGACTCCGTTGGGGACGGTCAAACTTTTAAAAATCAATTATAATTTGTCTCCATTAATTAAAAATTAAAAATTAAAAATTTATATATTTAATTTTTAATTCTTTCTTTTCAAAATCTTTATATTTACTTATTATTTTTATAATATTTATATGTTGTATTTTATTTGCAATTATTTTATTTCATTATTTATTTTGTCAGAGGTATGAACATTTCTCCTCACACACAATAATTGCATTACATAACATAAAGCTCTATAATTGAGTTGTCCTTTTTAAGTGGGAGTGAAAGCGACGTCTTCGTGAGAATTTATTCTCCGTGTCAGACCTAGCAAGTAACTTTCGGGGTTCATATGCTCTATGTCTTCGTGAGAATTTATTCTCCGTGTCAGGCATAGAGAAATGTATCCCCTCGAATTGAACTCGATCCATTTTAGTCTGTGATGGACTAGGATTGAGGGTTAGCAGCCCAAGGGGACACTAACAAGGACAATTCGAGTACCTTTATTCTTAGATCTGAAACCTTGCATATAAAAAACCTTAGAAACTCTTCCGATTAGAAGTCATGCCGAAATTTTGTCCAAAATAGGTGTACACACAGGAGAAATGAATTCTGACTTTCCTATTGTTTAAATTACATGTTTATTTAAATTATTTAAATTCAGAAAAGCATGTTTAAATAAAGAATATTTATGTAAATGTTATTATTGAATTTTTTATTATGTAAACTAATTTATTTTCTTTTTGTGTGTTCTTTATTTTTCTGTTTGCATAGCATCATACAGGATAAAAGGCATTGATCCTTGTGTTAATTGTCTCATTGGAAAGCCTTCATCTATGGATAAAAAGTGTTCAAATCAAGTAATTCTAAACTCAGAAGTACGACAGTGGGCTGAGGACTTACAAAGACAAGAAGGAGATAGTCTGCAGGATGATTATGTATCTGACTTGGCCAGTTATGCTCCAGTTTCACTAAAAAGAAATGATACGCAAGATTTGCGAAGCATTTGGGAAAGTTGGGATTCAAACAAAAAATTGCAGTTTTATCAGACGTACGGAGACATCCCATATTTGCTCTATGTAGAAGTTGATGATGAATTACTCCGAGCCCTAATTCAATTCTGGAATCCAGGGTACAATTGCTTCACTCTCAATAAAGAGGATTTGGTCCCTACTATTGAAGAATACACAACTTTGCTACATATAGATGGGGTTTTGGAGAATCGAATCTATTCAAAGTCAATTAAAACTCAACCCTTTCGAGTTAAATTAGCAAAGATTGCTGGGGTACGAGAAGAATGGGTGGCATCCCATACAAAACAAAAAGGCGAAAGCGAAGGCATTGCTTGGACCAACATTAGAGAAATTATTCAGAGCCATCCAGATTATAAAGTACGATTCGATTTATTTGCTCTGGGTATATATGGTATGGTCATCTTCCCAAAAGTATTGGGATATGTTGAAGCTGCAGTGGTAGATTTGTTTGAACAGCTACCGAAAAAGATTAATCATGTTTCTGCAATCCTAGCAGAGACCTTCAGATCATTAAATACTTGTAGAAGGCTAGGAGGTGGACGATTCTCAGGGTGTACCCAGTTGTTATATGTTTGGATCCGTAGTCATTTCTGGAGGACAGAAAAGGTTTCATACCGACGCTTTAATACGGATTATTCACCATTAAAAGAATTTCTGGAGCAGGAATGGCCTAAAGAAATTAAGAAAGATATGTGGATTAATGCCTTTCGAAACCTGCAAAGCAATGACGTTGTTTGGCGAGCCCCGTGGCAAATACAAAGGGAATTCTTTTACAGGTGTGGTGATTACAACTGGATAATGCTGCTCGGATTATGGGGAGGAATTGGATATGCACCACTTCTGGTTATAAGACAGTATGAAGGTCGTCAATTTGTACCTATCACTGCTGGATTACAGTCATCTGAATTCGCATTCCACAGCAAAAATTATAAAAGAAATATCATGGAAGCCGTTACAGCTTGGAAAACAACTTTTTGTATCCGAGCTAAAGCAGCAAAAGAAATGCTAACTCCTGATTATGAAGATTGGAGATCTGTCAGAAAAAACGAAAATATTCCTCTACCAGATCAAAATGAGGATATTTCTATGGAAGATCGCATTAAGGTGGTTCCATCAGAGATTGAAATCTTGAGAGCTGAGTTTGAAGCAGAAAGAGAAGGCTGGTCGAAAGAGTTAGAGCAAATGAGACAAGATAAAGCTATGTTGGGGGTTGACATTGACTTTCATTCATCACAATGTGCAATGTTGAGAAAAGATAAAGAAAAAGGTGAGGATGAGTACAGAGCCTTACAGAAAAATTACCAGGAGTTATATAAATCCCGAAAAGCATCAGGACCCAGCCAATCGACGGTACAGATGACCAGAGAATTGAATATCGAGAAAAGACGAGTTGAAGATCTGAAAGGAAAGAATAGTCGTCTACTCAAAAGCCTTGAGAAAGGAAAGCAAAAAATGGAAGATTTTGAGGTCGACAGAAGAGAGCGAATTATAAAACACAAGGCTGAACACCGCGAGATCATGAATGAAATGCAAAGAGAAAGGGATCGAGCCAAAGATTTAGAAGAGATGAAGAATGACATCTTTAATAAATTTGAAGGTGAGAAAAATATCATGTTCAAGGGATTTGAATCTGAAATGAACCAGTTGATTGCTGAACTTGAAGTCAGAGGCCAAAAGATGGAAGAATCCAATGTTGAAAAAGAAAAATGGGAGCTGGAAAGAAAAAATTTCAACACCAGACTTGAGGTAGAGCAGGAAGTGGCTAGAAATTGGATGCGAAGATGCAGAAACAAAGATGTTCAGATCCAGAAGCTTAATCAAAGAACGCAAGAAGCACGAACAAAACTTGAAGAAGATCTGGATCAGTCTAGAAATAAAAACTCAGAGTTTAATGCTTACATTTTGCAACTTGAGGAATCGTTGTTTCAAGAAAAGGTTCGTCTAG